CGAGACAGCGGTGGCATGCGATGGCGTCTTCCGCTGCGGTGGGTGGCCTCCCGGAGGCTTCCCGTCGTCGCGGAGAAGAGCCCTGCCTCGACACAGGTCTGGTCGGCACGAACGAGGTGGGTACGGAGAGAATGGGTACAGTGCCCAACAGCGCTTCCTGTGCGTTTTGAACAGGACTCTCTGTCGGTGTCGCCGCGGCCTGTGTACATTTGAGAGAAGGCCGCCTGCCCCACAGCAGCCGCTGTTGGTTCGGGACAACATTTGCTGTTGGGCATTATGCCTATTTTTTACATGCCCATTTCGGGCGTCCAAGTCTGGGGACCGATCTGAGCGGATGTGGCTTGGGCGGGGGAGCCGCCGTTGTCTCGCCGGGCCTTGCGCACCCCCCACCCGACAGCGGAGGCCCATTCCAAGAAACACCCTGCTTGCCTCCAGGGTGCCCTGGGTTTCTTGGGGTTCGATGGCTCTGCCATGGAAAGCGTGACGCTCCCACGCCAAAAATCGATGGACTTCCTGGGGTCTCAAGATCGGGTTTCTTGTGGAAGGCTTCTTGTGGTCGGGCCCCTTCTGTAAACCCGGGCGCAAGGGCGGCGCCCCTCACGATGGGCGAGGATTGCTCAAAACACCCAGAGTTCTGGAGGGCCGATGGGAGTCGAGAATGCAGGTGCCAGCCGCGCTGAGCTGAAGATTTTCTTGCCAATTGCCTGCTCGCTCAAGCAGACCAGTGTTCCCAGATCCGGGCTCCAGCTCGAGAGCCAAGAGTGCGATCGACACCGTGCTTACCGAAGAGAGGGAGAGTGAGAGACAGATGCAGCAGCAGCAACAGCATCACCACCAACAACAACGTACATGTTCCTTACCATCGAAGACACGAGAGGTGCAACGATATGTTCGAGAGTGTTTGCGTTGCGCGAAGGTTTCCGGGTCTTTGCTCCAAGCTCATTGTGGTCAGCACGGCGGCCAATGACCACATTGCGTTCCAAGTTTTTCTGGCTGAAGTCATTTGGATCGCGCTGTTGCAAGTTTGCGATGCGGAGTTGTCAAAGCTGTTCAGTGCGGGTCACGCCACTGCATACGATGTGTTCGGGCTTGCCATGGTGGCGCATGCGAACGATTGAGTTGCGTTCGCAGCATAGCGAGCCGCTCCGAGTCTGCACATTCAAACCCGCAAAAACAGCGGTCAGTATAACTAAGTGGCATCAGCGCGTAGCGTCGCAAGGCATTTGAAACAAGCACCTGTTTCGGGCAGCATCTCTTGATTCTGGCCTCGAAGCCACGGCCCGGCCACGAATGGAAGGTAGGAACAGCGCCGAGAGGATCAAGCCGGCAGTTCGCGATAGTGCTTGCCTACAACTTGAACTACATTTGCAGCTCTCCTGGGTCGTGCTTGTGACGTGGTGGAGGAGGCAGACGGTCAGGGGCAGCGTCAGGCGGATAGGCTCCGGGCGGGATGCACCGACACAGTCGCCCACGAGTCGCCGATAGGGCCCGGTGAGCCGCCCCGCCCAGGACAGTGCAGACTCGCTATCGGGGGCCTGTCGCCGATCTATCGGTGACGTATCACCGATTCCAGGTCGATACGTCCCCCCTCAGCCAGTCCCCCCCCCCGATCGTTCTCCCTCAGACGAAGACGAAGACGAAGAAGAAGGCTGTCGACGAGTAGCCGACGAGCTTCCGCAGGGCGGTTCATCAGCAGACGGTGCATGCCGAGCTTTCTGGTAGTGCTAAGCTTTTGGTGGTTAACGTCGTACTGGAGCCTGCGAGCAAGCCCGAGGTGCGTGCCAACAACGGAAATCGCTCGAAACATCCGTCGGTGAGGGAGGCAGCGGCCAACCCAGTGTCTCTAGGAGGGCCACCCGCTTCAAAGGGAAGCGGTCAGCTCTTGAGGGGCACAGTGTTCGATAAACTCAGAGACGTCGCCCGTTGGCTCTGGTGGAGGACGCGGAGGAGGACGAGGACGAGGGGGACACCGAGGAGGAGAGGGCGGGTGGAAAGGAGCAGGAGGCAGACGAGGCGCGAGGGGCGCGTTTCACACGAGGGGAAGGTCAGTCGGGGCCCTGAAGAAGGAACCCTTTTGGTTGGGGAGGGGCTCCGCGTTCCTTAAGTGTGTCACAGCTTGCCTCAGGGTTTCTTTATGTTTTCGATGGGAGGTCGAAGTTTGACGTATGGAAAAAAGGGGCCTCGTTCCTTATTTAGGGTTCCTTGGGTCAACGCCCCGACTGTATACAGGAAAAGGCAAGGCTCCGAGCGCGCAGGGCAGACCCTCCAGCCCCCGAGCATCCCCGATCCTCCTCGCTCCCGCTCTCCTCATCCCCTGCTCGAGGAGGGGAGGGAGGACGACGAGGGAGGGGGGGGCGCCATCGTCTTCGTCCTCCTGCTCCTCATCGAGGAAGCGGAGGACGACGAGGACGAGGAGGAGGAGGAGGAGGAGGAGGAGGGCGGGCGGAAAGGGGCAGGCGCCAGACGACGACAACGATGACGACGAGGAGGACGAGGAGGAGGGCAAGGGCGAGGAGGACGACGACGAGGAGGAGGCGCCAGGGGCGGCGGTGCAGGGCGCTACGACGACGACGACGACGACGACGACGAGGAATGAGGAACAGAAGAGGAGGAGGAGGAGGAGGAGGAGGAGGAGGAGGAGGAGAAGCAATGACGACGACGACGACGACGAAGACGACGACGACGACGATGACGACGACAACGACGACTACGAGGACGGCAACGTTCGAGGAGGACGAGGAGGAGAAGGCGGCGGGAAGCACGTTTTGGAGGATGACGACGAAGACGACGACGCCGAGGAGGAGGCAGCCCCCCCCACCAAAAGAGGCTCTCGGCGGCAAGCGTGGGCGGAGGGCCCCCTCGACGGCAGCGCCCGCGGCCCCGCGGGGGCGCCCGGCGGCGAGGCCGCTTCCGCCGCGCGCCGTCCCCGCCAGCGGGGCGCGTCGGGGGCCGCTCGGGCACGCGCAGAAATGGGTCGCAGCGGGGGCCCATGCCAAGAAGCACCCTGCTTGCCTCCAGGGTGCACTGGGATTCTGGCGTCTCGACGGTTCTCCTGAGCGGTTCGCTCCCTCTGCCCCCCTCTTTCGGCCGCGTCCCCGCCTCCTTCTCGCTCCCGCACGGTGGCACATGTGGGTTCAACGGCACCCCCGTTCAGGCCGTCCCGCTGGCGCAGATGACCCATGCCTCGCCGGCGACGCATGACAGTGTTTCGCTGGTGTTGCTCTGGAATGCGTGACGTCCCCGCACCACAGGACAGGGGTCGTCCTGGTGTCTCAGATGTGGGTTCCCTGTGGAAGTTCTCTTGTGGACTGGCCTCCACTGTGGCGGGGAGGGGGGAGCCCTTGCGCCCCTGGTTCTTGGATCGAAGAAAAACGCTATGAACATAAACTTTTGGCGTTCCACGCGGACTTCTTGGATCCGCGCTGGGACCCCCCCGGCGGCGCCTCTGGCGCCGCCTCTGGCGCGGTTTGCGTGCCAGGGAGGGGGGTCCAGTGCAGATCCACGAAATCCGCGCGGAGCACCAACAGTTTATGTTCATGTCGTTCTTATTTTTCTGGTAGACGGCGCGGACCTCATCTGGAGATGTGAGGCCAGCGCCTTTGAGGAGCAGCCTCCTTTAAAAGCCGCCCCCCTTCCCTTACACCGAAGCCCAGTGGCGCAGTTCGATCCCCCGCCCAGCACAGCGTTTGGTGGCCCCAGAGGGAGCTCCACGGAAGGTTCCAGGTGGTGCAGTTTCGATGCGCCCCCCCCGCCCAGTACAGCGTTTCGTGGCCCCAGAGGGAGCTCCACCGAAGGTCCCAGTGGCGCAGTTCGCATGCGTCCACCCCGCCCAGTACAGCGATTCGTGGCCCCAGAGAGAGCTCCCCCGTTGCTCGCGCCGCCAAGCACAGCCAAGGGGGGGGGGCAAGCTCAGAGGGGGGACGTTTCGCAGAGGAGGGCGAATTTAGACAACGGTCGTTGACCTCTGGGGGGGGGCCCTCGCCGCCACAGTTGGACGCAGTTCGGAAAACTTGTTCGTTTGGACCGAGGGTTCTGGGAACCGATGTTGAGACGCCTTTGTCTCAATTCGGCTGGCTCCGATCTGAGGGGACGCATCGACCCCCAACTGATACAGGGGCATAGGTAGGAATCGAGATTCTAGGTGTTCGGTTGTTCTGTGTGTTCTCGGCGGTCCCCCCACGGCCGCCCGCTCTGCCTTGATCCCACTCTTGCATGCTGGCCAATTCGCTTTTCGGTGCCCCCGTCTCGCTCTATCGCTAGTGCAGCCAAGTCTGCCTCGCAGCCGATGGGAGAAGTGTTCTCGGCGCTTCTCGGCGGTTATCCAAACTCGGGATGCCTTCAGCGGCTGCGCCTCGGTGAGAGCGTCATGGGGTGCCCGGATCGCCCCGAACGGCCGCCAGAGAGCCGTGGACCTGAAATTTAGACGACGAGGACCCTCGGGGGCAGTGGCCCAGGGGGGACGCATCGACCCTCAATCGCCCATTCGTCGCCGATGGGGGGCCCAATAGTTCGTTGCACCCCGCCCAGGAGCCAGAGGATTCGCTATCCAGGAGCCCATCGCCGCTCGATCGGCGACGCGTTGGCGATATCAGGTCGATGCCCCCACCCTGCCAGCCAGCCCCACCCTGATGTTCCCCCCCAGGGTGGCGAGGGTGAGACAGCCGAGCTGGGGGCTGTCGCGCCATGTCACCCGCTGCGCGTGAGAGAGAGAGGCCCTTCGCCCCGGGTCGGCCCTGGTGCGGGCCCGCGTGAGCCCCCCCCTATCTCAGCACTGGAGTCCAACCCTCACACGTTTCGTGGCCCCATAGAGACCTCCACCGAGTGCGTGCATAAAATGGCAACACCGACAATTTCATAAGGTCGGGTCCTTCGCCAGGCTAATTTCACGACATGGACGCTCGGAGGTCTCGACCCATTCCGCGGGACCGGCTATCCATCCTGAGTAGTTCTTCGACGGCCCCAGGCCTCCCGATGATTACAAAAAGAGTGGCCGCTGCGCTTGATTCACGACGCCAGGAGTCCCTGTTCGGTTCTCAAGCTCCCCGAGACCCTGATCACTGAATACTGGAATCTCCCAATCGCGACCGACGAGAACGGTCGCTCCCGATGTTGCTTCAAATTTCGGGATCGGTCCGACCGATTTGCTTCAAAATCGGCCGCGACCGATCGCTCGCGACCAGTCGGTCGCGATCGGTGGCGACTGGTCGCGACCGATGTTGGGATCGGTCGTGACCGGTCGCAACCGATTTGGAGTGCCGATCGATCGCTGCCGATCGCGACTGACAAAAAATCGGTATCCAGTGATCTGTCGGGCGAAGAGAGCTATGCACATGCACCGATCCTGGCAAGGCCCATCCTTGACCCAGGATCGGTGCATATGCTTTGCTGGCCGCGGCAGGAGGGCATATGCACCGACCCTGGGCTCAGGATGGGCCTGGCCAGAATCGGTGTATGTGCATAGCTCTCTTTCCTCTAGATCTGGGGAGCACAGCCCCGGCCGCACCTCGCCAGAGAGGCCTCCGGGGGGCGCGCCGACAGGAGCGCGGCGGCGGCGAGGCCGCCCCGGCGGTGCCGCCGCAGGCGCGGGGCGCTGCGGACCCCGAGGGCCCAGGCCCGCGCCTCGGCGCACGGCCCGGCCTGGGGGTCTGGACGCCCGAAAAGGGTACTCCAGATTTCGTAAGAAAGGGAGGGGGGTCTCATTTCGGGGGGGGTCTTTTGCAAGCTATCTTGGAGGGCCTGGGGGGGTCTGGGGACGATGTTTTGGAGGGTTCTCCCACGGGGGAGGTCTGAAATGGCTTGTCTTGGAGGGTCCAGACCCCCTCCCTTTTATTACGAAATCTGGGGTACGGAAAGAATGGGTACAGTGCCCAACAGCAGTTCCTGTCCATTTTGAGCAGGGCTCGCTGTCCGCGCCGCCGCGGCCCGTGTCCATGCGAGACAGAAGGCCGCCTGCCCAACAGCGGCCGCTGTTGGTTTGGGACAACATTGGTTGTTGGGCACTGTACCCATTCTTTCCGTACCCATTTCGGGCGTCCAATTGGGGGAAAGGATCGGGAGTTCAGAGACCTTGTCTTGAGATAAAGTCAAGGCTCGACGAAGAAAAAAATCGGCATAAACACACAAGCATAAACTTTTGGCGCTCCGCGCGGATTTCGTGGATCTGCACTGGACCCTCCTCCCTGGCGCGCGGAGCGCGCCAGAAGCGGCGCCGGAGGCGCCGCCTTGGGGGGGCCCAGCGCGGATCCAAGAAATCCGCACGGAGCGCCAAAAGTTAATGGTCATGCAGTTGTTTCTCCTTCGAAAGACATCAGATCTCGGGTGGGCCTCACCTACATCAGGAGCAAAACAAAAACGCACCGCACTTCGTAGGTTCAGATCGTTTTCGACAGACCGCATTCTGCGAGCGTTCGTGATATGGGGGAAGTCTCGCGCGAACTGCAGGGCAAGTTCATGTACGTAGCTGGGCTCGGACTCGCGTCCTTCCAGGCCTCCGACGAGAAGGCTTTCCAGTCCAGCGGCGATTCCCAAATCACACATGGCACCATCACGAGTGGATCCCGGGCGAAAGACACCCCTTTGGGAAGGGAGGCCGGGACCTCCCGGGCTGCCAGTCTCGCCTTTCCCCCCCCTTTTCTTCTCGCCGCGGAGGCCTCGCACGACGGGCCGTTTGCTGTTGCTTCCCCCCGGGGCCCTCGGTGGGCGGTCAAAGGAAGCGAGCGGCTCGGGACGCAAAGCCGGCCTGGGCGACAACCGTCCAGAGCTCAGGAGGGGAAACATCGGGGACGGCAAAGAAGGGGGTGATGACTAGGGGGGGGTGGATATCATGGCGTGGGCCATGATATTTCCCCAGATTTCATGGCGCCTCTTCTTATTTCATTACGTCCATGGTCCCCCCCGCTGGGCCGCGCACATGCCGCCGGTCATGATTTGCACCCCCCTCTCTTGGACAACCCCCTCTTGGCCGCTCCCGAAAAAAAACACATACACAATTAATCGTCGATTCCCCCGGAAAATATGCGGAAATGCGGGACGTGGAGGGGAAGACGAGCACCCAGAACATATGGAGAGATCTAGGGGAAGCCTGTTACTTGCGTGTCTCTCTTGGTGTGTCCCAGAGCCCCTTCCAAGCAGCGGCTCGCGACGCGAAGCGCCGGCCCGGGCGAAGACAGTCCAGATTCCAAGTGATATGGACACATATTGGGGGAATCCTGGGATTTGTGTGCGTGTTTGTTTGTGTGTCCCAGGGCCCCTTCCAAGCAGCGGCTCGCGATGCGAACGAAGCCGACCCGGGTGAAAGCAGTCTAGATGCCAAACAATACGGACACATATGGGGAATCCTGGGGTTTGTTTGTGTGTGTGTGTGTGTGTTTGTTTGTGTGTCCCAGGGCCCTTGCAAGAACTCCAGGGGTCCGAGTGGAGACAGCCCAGATCCCAAGCAACATGGACAAATATTGGGAATCCTGGGATGGGTGTGTCTGTGTGTGTGTTTGTGTGTGTGTGTGTCCCAGGGCCCCTTCGCAAGAGCTCCAGGGGTCCGCGCGGCGAGACGCCGCGGCGTCGAACCTCCTCCTCCTCCTCCTCCTCCTCCGCCTCCCCCCCCCTCCTCCCCCCTCCTCCTCCTCCTCCTCCTCCTCCTCCTCCGAACTCATTCATCCCCCCATCCTCCTCCCCCGCCTCCTCATCCCCGCCCCCCCCCCCCTCCTCCGCCCCCTCCTCCTCCTCCTCGCCATCAAGTTGAGCGGAATCATGTTTCGGCTACGGGGCCAGCTCCCATTTTCACATTCCCACCCCGCGCCCGTTAGGGCGGCGAACCACCCACGGCTTTCTCTATTAGGGTTTAGGGTTCATTCGGTAGTCGAGGTTCTCTTTCTCTTAGGGCCCCACGATTTCAATAGGTTTGGCGATCTTTCTCATGTGTGCGACATACAATGCTTTGTGTATCACATGTACCCTCTTGAGTCTTAAGATATGCGCAATCCTGGGTTTAGGGTTGACGCTTTACGTCGGGGGAAAGGGTTTGGGGTGAAACGCCGCGCGGGCGTTTGATTGTGCGCTTGCGGCGCCGGCTCCGCTCGCTTCGCTCGCTCCGCCGATGTCGCTCCTCTGGAACTACGAAATCCAGCTGGCGCGCCCAGGGGCGCCCTGGGCCCTGGGCGGCAGCTGATTCACCGTGAAGGGCGCCGGGAGGGCCCTGGAAGGCCCTCAAGGGGGCTTCTGAAAGGCTCCTGGGGGGTTCCTGGGGGGCTCCTGGGTGGTTCCTGGGCGATCGGCAATTCACAATGAGGTTGGTCTGGGGTGCCCTGGGAGCCTCCCAGGGAGGCCCAAGTCGCCAGGAGACGTCTTTGGGCCACCAGGTGGGCGCAGGGCCCTTGGGCGGGAGCTAATTCACCGTGGCGGGGGTCTGGAGAGCCGGGCAGAGGCTTCCCGCGGTGGCCCGAGTCGCCAGGAAACGTATTTGGGCCCTCGGGTGAGCCCAGGGCCCTCGGGCGGGAGCTAATTCACCGTGGCGCTGGTTCGGGGAAGGGGCAGGGACCACCCCGCAGGGGCCCGAGTTGCCAGGAGACGTCTGCGGGCCCTCAGGGGACCTCAAGGCCCTTGGGCGGGAGCTCATTCACCGTGGCGCTGGTTTGGGGGGGGCCCAGGGACCACCCCGCAGGTGCCCAATTCACCGTGACACTGGTCTGGGGGTGCTCCTGGGGGGCCCCTAGGGGGCTCCTGGGGTGCTCCTGGGGAGCTCCCAGGGCGCTCCTGGCGGGTTCCGGAGGGGGCTCCTGGGCGCAGCCCAATTCACCGCGACGCTGGTCTGGGGGGGCTCCTGGGGGGCTCCTAGGGGGCTCCTGGGGGGCTCCTGGGGCTGGTCTGGGGGGCTCCTGGGGGGCTCCTAGGGGGCTCCCCAGGGCCCCTGGGCGGGAGCTAATTCACCGTGACGCTGGTCTGGGGGGGCCCAGGGACCACCCCGCGGGTGCCCGAGTCGCCAGGAGACGTCTGTGGGCCCTCAGGGGGGCCCAGGGCCCCTTGGCGGGAGCTAATTCACCGTGACGCTGGTCTGGGGGGACCCAGGGACCACCCCGCGGGGGCCCGAGTCACCAGGAGACGTCTTTGGGCCTTCAGGGGACCCAGGGCTCCTGAGGGGGGGGCGAATTCACCGTGGCGCTGGTTTGGGGGGGCCCAGGTGGCCCGAGTCGCCAGGAAACGTCTTTGGGCCCTCAGGGGGCCCCAGATCCACTGGGCGCTGTCCAATGCACCGTGACGCTGGTCTGAGGGCCCCCAAGGGCGCCCGAGTCGCCAGGAAACGTTCCTGCGGCGCCCGGTTCGCCAGAGAACGTATTTTGCCAGCCTGCCGATCGGGTGGGTCCACTTTGGGAAACTTTAGGATTCGAGGTCGAAAAAAAATGCCAGTGGCAAATCGTGGTTTTTAGCGATTTTATGTTGGCGATCCAGGAGGGGCCCGACCAGCGTCACGGTGAATTCGGCTGTAGTTTTGGGGTTATAAGTCTCTTTGGCGATCGCCCAGGCGGGCGCAGGATTATCGCTTGCGCGTAAGCCGCATCATTGATAATGAGATAAGGCCCTCGCGGGCCATGCCTGACGGCAACCGAGACTCACCTGGGCAGACCTGTGATTCACGCACGGCCAGGAGGTAGTCTGACTGCGAGGTGCCAGTTAGGGCGCTTGCCGCCTAAATGGGTGGGTGGATACGGGCCAAGCGGCCCTGGGCGAGTTTAGGGTCTAACAGGGCAAGGCCAAGAATACCTACCTGCATAGGCACTCACCTGCGGTGGCTATCAATCCCCCCCGCATCTCCACCCCCACATAAAGATCATCTCTCCTCTCATGTTATACCCTAACGGGCGGGTCGGGCGGGCGGGGCCCTAACGGGCGGGTCGGGCGGGCGGGGCCCTAACGGGCGGGTCGGGTCGGGTCGGGCGGGCGGACCCTAACGGGCGGGTCGGGTCGGGTCGGGCGGACCCTAGCGGGCGGGTCGGGTCGGGCGGGCGGGACATTAAAGTATGGTGCGTGTGCACTTGACACGCGTGAACCCTGACGGGCGGGTCGGGTCGGGCGGGCGGGCCCTAACGGGCGGGTCGGGTCGGGTCGGGCGGACCCTAACGGGCGGGTCGGGTCGGGCGGGCGGGACATTAAAGTATGGTGCGTGTGCACTTGACACGCGCGAACCCTAACAAGCGGGTCGGGTCCTGTTATCCGATATCATTATATCCGCTGGAGCGGGGCTATGGCTACGCGGGTGCCAGCCGCTTCCGGCTCGCCGAGCGCATCTACCACTTTGGTTTTATTCGGCGCACAGATTGGCTACCTGTGAGCATGAAACAGGACGACCCAGACGAGCAAACTATGAGATCGGCCCAGAGTGACTCCGACGACGAGTACGGACCCAGACCAGTGGAGGAAGAGACGGAGTCCGAGGCGAGCACGGACAATGACGATCCTGACGACGAGGACGAGGACTCGCGCTACTCCATCCTCGAGACCATGTCCGCCTTTGCAGGCGGCGCGTCTGAGCTGGCCGCGTACGCGGAGCTTGGCTTATATGAGCTATGTTGACTTGCGCGTGTCCTGGAGACGCCTATCTCCTGTCCTCCGCTCCTCTTCCTATATCATGTACTCCTCTCGCTTATACTCTTATCCCATCCCTGTGCTCCCCTCCTGTAAGCCTTCAATCCCGCAATCCTATATCATCGTGCTCCGCTCATCCCTCCATCTCCTGCACTCCTGTACTCCCATCTCCTATACTACATCTCCTGTACTCTTGTCTCCGCTCCGCAAGTTTCTGTCATGTGCGGTCCTTGTGCGCTGGCGCGCGGCGTCGCGGTGCGCACTGGGACTATACAGTGGCACTCCTGTCTCCTGTCCTCCGCTCCTCCCTCCTGCTCGCGGCGTCGCTGTGCACGCTATGTGTATACAGCTGCACTCCTATCTCCTGTCCTCCGCTCCTCCTTCTATCTCATGTATTTATCCTCCCTGTACTCCTGCACTCCATCCCAGTACTCCAACCTCTTGCACACCTTCATTCTGTACTCCTATCTCCCGCGCTCCTGCCTGTACCATATTCCTTTCTCTGCCCTTACGCTCTATGCGTGGGGAATTTGAAGCATCCCATTTGGGATTCCTTGTCGGCTGCCGTTCCCATATAAGCAGCCTGTACCTCTGGAGCTTCGGGACTGTGGCGCGAACCCTGGTGCCGCGAACAAGTGTCGTGCTCGTCGATCGTCCATCATTGCTGGTGTTTCTACTATGGGATCAATCATTACTTCATTTATCGTCAGGTGCTATTGGTGTGCGTGGTGTTCTTTCTTTGATCTAACCCTTGCTTCTGTAGTGAATATGTCTGTATCTTATGGGATATCGCCTGTTCCGCATCGTGTCCGGTTGGTGGGTGGGAGGTCCAATGGTTGCTATGCTGTGCTATGCCATGCTATGCTACACAATGAAGTCCCCACAACCATGGGGCAACCATACGTATGAGCTATGCTATGCCGTACTGTGCCATGGCCTAGCTATAACAAAGGGGTCCCCAATTATTGGGGAACCCTGTGTCTTTCGTATGTCTATGCCGGACAGCAAGTCCAAGGATGACCGGAGGGCTATGTAAACATGCGCCCATGAACTGGCAGCTATATGGTAACATGCGTTCTACTTCTGCATATATACACACGGACATTGCTTTTGTATGTTCTCTATTTCCTATCTGCAATGCGACCTCTGCTGGGACCACGTTTCGTTCTGTAACTTTGACATATGGATATTTGACAGGTACTTTCTATGTTAAGAAGATGTCATGTTATACTATCAAGATCTTATAAGCTCTGGTGCTCTTATGTTGTGTTATGTTAAACAATGTCCACGCTACAATGCGAGGTTCCCCTACTTCAGGGGAGCCTCGCGTCTGACGTAGATGCCTTGTTATCCCTGTTGTCGTGCTATAACATGAGGTCTCTATTATATTGGGTCCTGGACCTCATATGGTGTGGTATATTATGGCACGGCCACGCTATACTATGCGGCTCCTCGAACTCAAGTCATCTCACCATGATGTGCTGTGCTACATTAGGTCACGGCCACGCTATAACATGAGGTCCCCCAGATTTTGGGGCACCTCGCGTCTTGCGTCGCTTCTATGATACAGCAACGCCATAACATGAGGTTCCTATAGCATCAGTTCTTCGAGCTGCTATGCCAGACATGCTGGGGCACGCGTCCGCACGCTATAGCAGAGCACTGTCCGTAGCCTCAGGAGGCCAAAATGCTCGTGGGGACTCTCGGAGGCCTCTTGGAGCCTCTTGGGGGCCTCTTGGGAGCCTCTTGGGGGCCTCTTGGGGGCCTCTTGGGGGGCCTCGTGGAGCCTCCGGGGGCCTCTCGGGGGCCACTTGGAGGCCTCTAGCAGTAGCAGTACCAGGAGCAGTAGCAGTAGCAGTAAAGCGATAGCCGTCGTCGTAAAAGTAGTAGTGTAGTGCTAGGAGTCACAATGGTAGCGGTAGTTGCCGTAGAAGGAGTAGTAGTAGTAGTAGTAGTAGTAGTAGTAGTAGTAGTAGTAGTAGTAGTAGTAGTAGTAGTAGTAGTAGTAGTAGTAGTAGTAGTAGTGGTAGTGGTCGTAGTCGTAGTATTAGTAGTAGTAGTAGTAGTAGTAGTAGTAGTAGTAGTAGTAGTAGTAGTAGTAGTAGTAGTAGTAGAAGTAGTAGTAGTAGTAGTAGAAGAAGGAGTAGTAGTAGTAGTAGTAGTAGTATTAGTAGTAGTAGTAGTAGTAGTAGTAGTAGTAGTAGTAGTAGTAGTAGTAGTAGTAGTAGTAGTAGTAGTAGTAGTAGTAGTAGTAGTAGTAGTAGTAGTAGTAGTAGTAGTAGTAGTAGTGGTAGTAGTAGTAGTAGTAGTAGTAGTAGTAGTACCAGTAGGAGTACAGTAGGAGTAGTAGTAGTATTAGTAGTGTAGTAGGTAGTAGTAGTAGTAGTAGTAGTAGTAGTAGTAGTAGTAGTAGTAGTATAGTATAGTATAGTAGGTAGTAGTAGTATAGTAGTAGTAGTAGTAGTAGTAGTAGTAGTAGTAGTAGTAGTAGTAGTAGTAGTAGTAGTAGTAGTAGTAGTAGTAGTAGTAGTAGTAGTAGTAGTAGTAGTAGTAGTAGTAGTAGTAGTAGTAGTAGTAGTAGTAGTAGTAGTAGTAGTAGTAGTAGTAGTAGTAGTAGTAGTAGTAGTAGTAGTAGTAGTAGTAGTTGCAGTAGTACTGGTAGTAGTAGTAGTAGTAGTAGTGGTAATTAGTAGTAGTAGTAGAAGCAGTAGTGGAGTCGAAGTCGTAGTAGTAGTAGGCGTAGGAGTAGAAGTAGAAGTATATGTCTTTTGGTCGGAGGCCTCTGAGGGCGTCTTCGGCGCCTCGTGGGGCCTCTTGGAGACATGTTGGGGGCATCTCCTCGTGGGGCCTCTTGGGGGCCTCTTGGAGCCTCTGGGGGCCTCTTGGGAGCCTCTTGGTGGCCTCTCGGGGGCCTCTCGGGGGCCTCGTGGAGCCTCTGGGGGCTTCTCGGGGGCCACTTGAGGCCCTCTTGGGGGCTTCTTGGGGCCTCTTGGGGGATTCCGGGGACCCTCCTGAGGAGTCCTCTTGGGAGCCTCCTGGGGGCCTCTTGGGCCATCTTGGGGGCCTCTTGCGACCTCCTCTGAAGCGCGAAGGAGCGCCGCCCCCTGAAAAGGACAAAATGAGGCCTAAACCTTCGTAGAATCAGCGATTTTGCTATGGAGGAAGAGAAGCGCGGCCCGGCCCCCTCAGGAGGCCACAGTGGTGCCAAAACCGTAGTAAAATCAATGATTTTTGCTTCAGAGAAGAGCAGAGGGGCCAAACTCGGCCCCCCCGTCGGGGCCAGAATCCTCGTGAGGGTCGTCGTTTTTTTGGCCCTCCCAGGAGTCGAAAAAGACCCCCCTGAGAACGCTCGGGACTCCCTGTCCAGGCCCAGGGGGATGGGGGTAGGGGGAGGGGTAAACCCCTCCCCGGAAGGAAGAAGGGGGGTTGAGGACAGAGAGAGCTCTCTAAACCACTCACGCCCAAAGGGCTGGTGGGATTCAGCGCGCGCAGGTAGTTGCGAATGGATATATCGGGGGATACATTGGGAAACGACAGCCCGGGGGCACTTTGAAGACGAAGAAATGCGTGGACAAGCTGTTTACCTTGAGGGCGAAGATACAGGGCAGGGGGGAAGCAGCGCAGCTCAGAGCAAGCAGCGGGAGGCTGATAACGGAGCTCGAGATGAACAGCACGTACCGCGGCGCTGTGGAAGTCTGCAACCTGTGCTGCAATCTTGACCAGAGCGACCTTCTGAAGGCAGAGTGCATCCGGACCTTCCACGAGCATGCGATTGATGGGCGGGCGTGGATGAACAGGTTGGAAACATGCCAGAATTCGTCGCAGATGAAGGACAGCAGCGCGACGACGCACGTGCCGCCAGCTCGCAAACCTCACGCACGGACGGACCGATCGAGAGTGAGCGAGTTCGACGCCTACGGATATCGCCCTGTGCAGCACCCTTGGAAGTTGTTGTCGGCGCACGAGTTCTTGCGGCAGTGGAGGTGCGAACCACTACTGGTTCCGACGCACTACTCGAACCGCAACCTGCCACCGCGAACTGCGTGGACACAAGGAGGTCAACAATTAATCATGAGCAAACAGTACAAGGATGGAGAGGTCGCCGCGAAGCCTGGAGAGCATTACATCGTAGTGACACGAGACCGACGAGTATTGCGTTTTCCCGCATGGCGCAGGCGTCTTCTGCCACTCATGGGTTCTGGTCAGGAAGGCGAGGCCGGACGTGGTTGTCATCGAAGGCTTGCCGATGCCCAGCGTGCACAAGGGTTCGTGGAGGCTCAGACCCGATAGGAAGCTTGGCCAAAACGTGGCTCCAGTGGTTGAACACTGAAAGATCCGCGATGTTAGCGATGATGGCCGACGCCGTCGATCAGCCCTTATGGCTTGCACGACTTCTCGACGATGAACACACAGACCCAGCCGCATTATATAGAGAAATCCAGAGCTTCAACTTTGCCAACACTGCGTTGTTCACAGGGCGGGGCTGCGTGAACACTTTCGGGTACACTAGCGTCATGCTGGAGATCCTCAAGACGCAGGTCGTCTTCGTCGTGGGCAACTCTACATACTCAGTCGGGTGTGAAACTGGAGTGCCGGGAGACATCATCAACAGATGCTTGGGTCGGATGAAAGCATACGTCGTGCTCGCAAGAGCAACGCTGGCGGCGGAATTTCCATCATTCGAATTGGCCCAGGTCGTGGGTTTGAGGACAATCAGCCCGCCTGACACACTCACAACTGGAAGCCGATGATTCCCCCGCGACCCCCTCTTCACATGTATCCTTGGTATCGCTTTCGGGGGATTGGGGGGGGGAAGGGTCCGATTGTTTTAGAGTGTGGGCTGATAGTCCAAACCCTGTGACGCCAGGCCTTCAGCGTTTTCAACCTGTCGTCGTTGCCACCAGGCGTCGGTCAACATCTGGACAGGATAGCGTGCGCCCTCGATTCATATAGGCTTCGCCCAGCTGTCCGCCGCCCGAGTAGCAGGCCTCACCCCCGAAAGTTTGTTTGGAAATGCTGATCTTCACGTGGGTAGTAGTAGTAGTTGTAGTAGTAGTAGTAGTAGTAGTAGTAGTAGGAGTAGTAGTAAGAATAATCGTAGTAGTAGTAGTAGTAGTAGTAGTAATGATAATCGTAGTAGTAGAAATCGTAGTAGTAGAAGCAGTGGTGGTAGTAGATGCAGTAGTAGTAGTAGTAGTAGTCGTAGTAGCAGTAGTAGTAGTAGTAGTAGTAGTCGTAGTAGTAGTCGTAGTAGTAGTAGTGCTGGTAGTAGTACTAATGGTAGTCGTAGTAGTAGTAGTAGAAAAATAGTAGTAGTAGTAGTAGTAGTAGTAATAATGATTGTAGTAGCAGTCGTAGTAGTAGTACCAGTAGGAATACCAGTAGTAGTGGTAGTAGAGGTAGTTTAGTAGTAGTAGTAGTCGTCGTAGTAGTAGTAGTAGTAGTAGTAGTAGTAGTAGTAGTGTTGGTAGTTGTACTGGTAGTTGTAGTAGTAGTAGCAGTAGTAATAGAAGTAGTAGTAGTAGAAGAAGTAGTAGTAGTAGTAGAAATAATAATCGTCGTAGTAGTAGTAGTAGTAGTTGTAGTAGTAGTAGTAGTAGTAGTAGTAGTAGAACAAATAATCGTAGTAGT